TTGCATTTTGTAACTGAAAGTATTTCCTATATAAATATTTTCTCATATAAGTCTCTTCACTCATGTGAAATATTCACTTTTCCTAGTCTGCTAATTACATCTCAATCTTTCAGTCTTATAAGGGGAATTTCTGGCTGCTTTTCTGAATAACATTTTACATACCAAATTTGACTGTCTAAGTTAATGAACATTAAAAAAAAAAGACCTCAAACACAGAGAAAACTGGTCTGTTAGTAATGAATAATTTTCTAACTTGGGGATTAATGGCAATCATACTGTAGTTGTACCTTACCCTCTCCTGAAAAAAGATTGCTCTTAATATATCTGCCTGGGAACCTAATCAATGGTTAGGAATATACCTCTGAGTATAACCATCCAGAAGGAACATCACGATGTGGTTAAGAAGTCCTTATCCATGAGTATAATCCTTCAGGGGGAAAAATGGACATTTAATGAAAGGCAGGACTTTCAAGTATCTCTGATGAAAAGACCAGAGCAATCACAAGACTCAAGAGAAGCATAAGAAGACAAACATGCAAGAATAATCATGAGGGACTCAATAAAGTTAAACTGTTTGCATTCCTATATGGGAAGATAACACATGTAATTCCTAAGAATTTTATCATTATTAGGGTAGTTGATTATATTGCAATGCTCTCAAAAAAAATGAAGGGGTGAGAAAGAAGGAGGCACTGAGAGAAGGGAGAAGGAAGAGTAGAATGGAATAAATTGTCTCACATAAAAGAGGCACCCAAGGAAGAGCTTTTATAGTGGCAGGGAAAATGGGGGTTTGGTAGGCAATGCTTGAACCCCACTCTCAGCAGAACTGGTTCAAAGAGAGAAGAAGACACACTCACACATATGTACATATGTATAAACACCCTCAGTGAAGTACAGAAATCTATCTCATCTAACAGAGAAATAGGAGAAAAGCAGGATAAAGGATATGATGTTGGAGGGGAGGAGGGCTGATAAAGGGAGGCAGTTGTCACAAGCAAAACAGACTTTTGAGGAGGGTCAGCACAAAAAGGGAGAAGGATAAACAGAAGAAAATAGAATGGAGGGAAATACACAGCTAATAATCATAACTGTGAATGGGATGAAATCATCCATAAAAGAAAAGGATAGCAGAATGGATCAGAAACCAGAATACAAAAATATGCTGTTTATAAGAGAAATATCTGAAACAGAAAGACATACACAAGAGTTAAAGTAAGGGCCTGGAGCAGAGTCTATGTTTCAGCTGAAGCAAAAAAGGCAGGGGTAGCATTCATGATCTTAGACAAAGCAAAAGCAAAAACAGCCCCAACTGAAAGAAATAATCAGGGAAACTACATTTTGCTAAAAGGTACAATGGACAATGAAGTAATATCAAAAAATTTTACAGTAAGTTTCTCTGATAAAGGCCTCATTTCTCAAATATATAGAGAACTGAGTCTAATTAATAAAAGCCATTCTCCAATTGATAAATGGTCAAGGGATATAAACAGTCAGTTTTCTGAAGAAGAAATCAAAGCTATCTAAAGTCACATGAAAAAATGCTCTGAATCACTATTAATTGGGCAGTTGGGTGGCCCAGTGGATAGAATGCTGGGCCTGGAGTCAAGAAGATTCAAACTCCAGAGTTCAAATCTGCCCTCAGACACTTACTAGCTGTGTGGTCATCTGCAAGCAAGTCACTTAACTCCATTTGCCTCAGTTCCTCATCTGTAAAGTGAGTTAGAGAAGGAAATGGCAAACCACTCCAGTCTCTTTGCCAAGAAAACCCCAAACGGGGTCATGAGGAGTAGGACGTGACTGAAACAACTCAACAACAACAACAAATCGCTATTGATTAGAGAAAGGTAAATTAAAACAACTCTGAGATACAACCTCAAACCCATCAGAAGTGACTAATGCTGCAGAGGTTGAGGGAAAATAGGTACATCAATGAACCGTTGGTATAGTAGTGAATTAGTCCAACCATCCTACAGAACAATCTGAAACTATGCCCAAAGGGCTATAAAACTGTGCATACCCTTTGATCCAGCATACCAGCACTAGGCCTATATCCCAAAGAGATCAAAGAAAAAGGAAAAGGACCTATATGTACAAAAATATTTATAGCAGCTCTTTTTGTGGCAGCAAAGAACTGGAAATTGAAGGGATGTCCAACAACTGGGGAATGAATGAACAAGCTATGGCTCACGATTGTGATGAAGTACTATTGTGCTATAAGAACGGACGAGGCAGTGGTTTCAGAAAAACATGGCAAGGCTTATATGAACTGATGCAAAGTGAAGTGAGAAGAACCAGGAGATCATTTGCACAACACAGCACAGCATAGCGATGTTGTAATGATGATTAACTGTGATAGACTTGGCTACTCTGATCAATATAACGATCCTAGACAATTCCAAAGGACTCATAAAAAAAAAAAATGCTGTCCACCTTCAGAGACAGAATTGATGAACTCTGAGTGCAAACTGAAGTATAATTTTTTGCTTTCTTTTTTTTTGTTTTGTTTTGCAGTATGGCCAATATGGAAACATATTTTGTATGATTCCACATGTATAACTGATATATTGTTTGCCCTCTCAGTAGGTAGGCAAGGGGTGGGAGGAAGGCATTCAATCCAGAACTCAAAATTTAAAAAGCAAAGAATGTTAAAAAAACAAATAAATAATAAATTTTTAAAATTTAAATATAAAATATGAAAAAAATTCCTTGCCTTTTACTTAATTAATCATATTTATAAAGAAAACTCCTAAGCCTAAAACAAAGAGATTGTATATACTTCTACACTACTTTAAAACTGATACCACTATAGATAAACATTTGCTATTGATTAAAAATGTACTATCTAAAAAATTGTAGAAACCAATGTACCTATGGAATCCTCTTTCAATCCTCACATATGCAACTTTCTTTCCCTTTGAAAATTTACTACATGCCACTTCGTTCATTAAAGCCAACTTTCAAACACATGGTAGTTTAAGTTGACACAGAAATAGATGGGCAATTTCAAAACTGACCACCGCTACCAGTCCTTTAAACTATAAATGAATCTTATACACAGGTTCTCTGCTAAAAGCACACTTGAGCTGCACCTTTTTAATTTTTACGCTGTAAAGCAAAACTGTACGTCATCCTCAGGTTTCTAACATGAGAATGTGAAAAGGACCTCACACCAAACACTCACTGGTTCTCCCATCAGGGCAATCTGAGACTTAGGCATTCCATTCATTTTCTACCTCAATTCTCGATGATAAGACCAAAGCAGGGGCTGCTTTTAGTTCCTACAAAGAGCAACACCATTTTCATTCCAGAAAGACTGGCTGGAGTAGAGCATGAGATAACCTTACTCTACACATATTGATACTAATTAATTCTAGCATCTGCCTGACTTCATGGCCGGACTTTGATACAAGAGCTCCCTTTACAACACCAGCACAAAATTCAAGAAGAAACAGAAGCAGCCACAACTGCGGGGCACCAGGAGCACGATGTAGTATAAAAAACAATGATTTGGAGTCAAAAGATCTGAATTAGAATCCCACTCCTGACATTTCTAGCTACGAAACCATGGCTAAGTCACAAATTTTCTGTGTTTCACTTTCCTCACATCTGCAAAATAGGGACAACAAGGTTGTTGTGAGGATGAGAAAATGAGTAATTTACAAACTGTAAAGTCTTTTACTACCATACGATATTTCCAATAGGAGTGAGGAGCATGCTGTGTAGCTGTTGCCTTGGGGAATGGTCCTTTCAAAATCAACATGTGTAAAGAAGAGCCCATGGTGTCTAAGACTGGGAACCATAGTACCATTTGAAGATATCTGAAGCACCCTTTTGGAAGCTACTGTTTCACACATTAGTGAGAGAGCCCCAAGTGCCACCAAAGGGAACTACCAGAAACTCAAGGGCTCTAAGGAAGAGGTGTCAAGCATATTGCTGGGAAGACCCCCCCACAGCATTCCTGAGTATGGCAAAAACCGGATTTAAGATGGAATTGGGAAATATTTAACAAAGTAAATAAAAACACATGAGAACATAAATAATGTTGATATGCAGTTTTCTAAGTCAATATACCACTGCAGGAATCCTCATAGATTATATAAGGATATATACAGCATATATGTGTTGTATCTATTATATGTTTTTTATATATATATATATATATATATGTATGTATGTATATGTATGTGTGTGTGTGTGTGTGTGTGTGCCGTGTGTCTGTGTCTGTGTTCTAAGGATGAAAGAGAAGAATTATTAACCATAATTACAAGTTTCTTCTGCAAGACTCAGTATTGTTTTCTATTAGAATGTAAATAACTGATCGCCCCTGTTTCTATTTGAGCCTGACATGACCGTTGTAAGGCAGGGCATGTGCCCCTCTCTATTTAGCTAATGCTACCCAATGGAGGAAAGACAATCAGGCAGAACGATTAGCAGAAAAAAAGAGGCAGATAATAAAAGGGCACATGACCAAAATGAAATCTACTGCCAACCAAGAGGCCAGCTGATCCTACCAGGACTACAGCAGTGTCTGGTATTACAAGGCTCAATGGATTTCTCCGATCATTTGGGCTAAATTTTGCTTTTCTAAAAAGTATTAGAATTTGACATTAAGAATTATGATTTTGTCAGCATGGGAAAAGCTCAGTGTGGGAAATCACAGAAGAGAAGCCCTAGAGAATTACCTGAGAAAAACAGAGGTTAAGAAGCTTTGCCAGGATCACACAGCTACTATATTTTGGAAGGGGAATTTGAACCCAGGTCTTCCTGACTTCAAGTCCAGCATTCTATCTATTAAGCCAGGTTGATGCTACAATTCATTACAGTAACAGATTTTACAACAAAAGAACAAATGATTGGGCAATTTGTCTCTCAGAAATATAATTATTTAAGCCAGTATCAGTCAGACCAGATCAACTTCATCTATTCTGTTTAGGCTGTTTTTAGCAACTTTATTAAATCTTAAGTGGCAGTCTTGCAAGTGTTTGCAATATGTTAAATACCTTCCCTTTCCCAGTGCTGGATCTTCTCTTGGTCCCTTGTGGCACTGCCCAATACTTCTCGAGGGACAGGCTCCATCCGTGCATCTACCTTCTCTGGACAAGAGGACTGATGAAATCCTTTCATGGCCTTTTGGAAAAAGCAGTTCAGCTCCTCAAAATTAATGGCTTGTAGTTCTTCATAAAGTTCCTCCTGTTGGGTTTCTTCCAGCTCATCCCAGAACTGTGTTAGGTGATCCTGCCCAGCCTCGGACAACCTACACTTGAGGTCATTCACATTCATAATGTTTCAGTTTCCAAGTTTCTTAATAAAAAGGCTGTAACAGCTATTACTGTAAGGATGAAAGAGAAGAATCATTAACAATAATTATACGTTTCATCTGCAAGATTCAGTGTTTTATTCTACTAAAATGTAAATAACTGCTGTTTTGAAAAACACATAAAAGCCATTAGCTTCCTTCTTTATAGACACCATATATTTTGTATAAAGGTCATAACTGTAAACTAACAATCTATAAGATGAAAGGAAAATAGTGAAACAACGTAGCATTCCCCAATAGATAAATGGTCAAAGGATATGAACAGTTTTCAAAAGAACTGCACGCTACTACTAATAGTTACTTTTAGGAATGTTCCAAATCACTAATAATAAGAGAAATGCAAACCCAAACAACCTTGAGGTTCACCGCACACTCTGCAAACTGGCAAAGATGACAAAAGATGAGAATCACCAATGCTGGAAGAATACGAGGAAGACAGGCACATGAGTATTATTGGGGGAACTGTGAATCAGTATGGTCATTTTGGAAAGCAGTTTAGAATTATGCAAGTAAAGTAAATAAAATGTCCATACCCTTTAACCCAGAGATTTCACTATTAGGCCTAAAATTCCATGGATGCCACTGATAGGAACAAAGTCCCCATTTACACCAAAATATATTTCAGCTGCACTTCTTCTGTTAGCAAAAGAATTGGAAACAAAGTAGATGCCCATGGAAATGTCTCTTCTACTTAATATTTGTATGACCTTAAGCAGGTCACTTTGCTTATCTGGAATTAGCAGGGCGAGCTAAATCAGGGTTTCATGGATAGATTTCAAGGGGGGAAAGGACTGCGAACTTGGATAGCAAAAAATCACAGCTTTATTTTCATTAACCTCACTAATTTCCTTCAATTATGAATGCAGTAACTGAAAAACCACCAAAGTTCCCAGCAAACACATAACGAAACATCCCTCCCTCCAGAGAGGCAGGAAGCTACTAAGTCAGAATCCTGCGTATGTGGCCAGATGCAGTCATTGAATTGGATATCTGCACTTAATGGCTTTTGTCACAAGAAAAGATTCAATGAGGAAGGTGGAGATTCCCTAACCCCATAAATGACAGTGATATAAAAACAAAAGGCATCAATAAAACATTCTTTTATATGCTGTGCAGATAGACTCAACTGGCAGGTACTAGAAGGAGGATCACAAAACAAAATGACGTTGATTAGCAAAATCAGGAGGCCCAAAGCAAGGAAATGTAGGCTTGCCATTATCAGTACTAGATGTGCTCCCAACTGATACTAAACTAAGATCCTTGATAGATACTTAAAAATGAAAATGACTTGTGATAAACTCTAACCCCAACACCTGAAGTGCCCAGGGAAGGCTGAATGGAAGGGGTGACCCCTGAGCTGTGCCTGAAGGAAAATAAGCCCTCTGAGAGATAGTGGTGAGAAGGGCCTGTAGGCCAGGCCTTAGGGAGAGCTTCTAAGATGGCACAGGGCATGTCCTGTGGGCTTCTGGGAATATAGAGTAGTCTACTTACAGAATTTACAATCAGTCTAGCAAAGTGGGGAGGAACCAGAGTGAGGATGGCTTCCAGTGACAGGCTAAGGAATTTGGATTCCGTGTTTCAGACCTGTGTCTTAAGATTCTTTTACTGGCTGTGAAGGGCAGATCAGATAAAAGAGAGGCTACAAATAAGGAGTAAAAGGAAGGGGACAGAGGCAATGAGGATCTGATCTAGGATCAGACCTATGTGAAGGAACAGAAGGAATCTCAGGGTCATTGATCTAGCAGCAGATGGCGTATGGGGCCAACGAGTCCAACTCTCCCATTTTAGCAAGATGAGAAAACTGAGGCCCGGAGAGGTTAAATGACTTGCCCCAAGTCACACAGCTTGTAGATGCCTGAATCCTCAGGATTCAAACCCAGGTCCTCCTGCTGCCAAGTCCAGAGTGCTCTCCACTACCTAATCCTGTCTCTCCACAAGAGGTAATGAGGTAGAATCAACAAGACTTCAGTAGTGATCCTCATTGCCTGACAAAAGAATGAAGCTTTAAGCTATTTTCCAGAGAATAGAGTCTTTTCTGGATGTCATTTATATTTCTGTATCCACAATAAATGAGGAAACATAAAACAAAACCTCATTCAAAAAAGTCACTTTAAAAAGGCACCATTTTCACCCTGAAGCATATGAATCAGATAACTAAAAAGAAAACATGCAAATTACAAATAAAAATATTATTTTCATCATAAAAATTAATTATCAAAGTTCACCGTGGATGGTCTGTGACTGTAGGCTGGTCCCTTGCCCATATTCATACTATACCCTGCTTTCTTTAACACAAATAGACTACTTTAACACAAATAGACTACTTGGGGGTGGGGGTGTTAAACCTCCACTGAAGTCCTACTCCAACCTGGATGGAGGTAGAAGAACACGAAAGAGGAAGAAAGGAAGAAGAAAGACAGCTGAAAACTAAGAAACAAATGTGAGGCTCCTCCCAAGGAAGAGGGAGCTCCAAGCACTGAAGAGTAAACATCTGTTTATTCTGCCAGGAGCAATGCTGTGGCTGCACAGCTGCTATCAAGGGACAGATCATCCAGGAAGAGACAAGAGGAAGGGACTCCTGCTGCAGGGAGCTGAAGTGAAGCAGGTCTCCACTGTCCACAGGAGAACAGGCTTCCTTCCCTGCTCTCCAGACATGCCCACCCAGATATGGCATGCTCCCTTCTGTTACCCTCGATGGAGGGTGTAAGATCTGTGACTAGAATACGGCTCTGGAAGAATATACCGATTTCACAGCAAACAGGATAGACTTTTTTAAGGGGATGGGGTTTAAAGTAACCTTATGTGGTAAAAGACATACTCATGGAAAAATCCTAAAATAAGAGGGAACAAGGATGGAGAAGGTATCTGGGTGAAGATCAATGAGTGTTAGGAAAAATAGAAGTAGTTTTATCAGCAGAGAGTACTACAGACATCACCAGGTCAGAAGGAGGAAATGTATGAGGAGATAGGGGAATAAGTCACAAATTCTGGCACAGAGATATGACACAGGAATAAGGAGAGATTCCAATTATTTTTTTAATTAAATTAAATTATTTTTCAATTAACAAAATGTATTTTCTCTTCTCCCTCCACCTCTATTCCCAATGGAAAAAAAAAGCAAAGAGAAAATCCTTCTTACAAATATGTAAAATCAAGAAAAATAAGTTTTCATATTAGCCACATCCAAAAATACATCTCATTTTGTATGTTGCACCCATCACCTTCTTATCAGGAGGTGGACAGACTGCTGCAGTATTGACTTGGATTTATGGCTGACAAGCGCACTGATCAGAGCTCTTAAGTCTTTCAAAACTGTTTGTCTTTATAGTGTTGTTGTTATTGTATAAATGGTTCTGGTTCTGTTCACTATGCATTCCTTCATATATGTCTTCCCGGTTCCTCTGGAATTGTTCATTTTCTATGGCCTAATAGTACTTTATTACGTTCATAGACCATATTTGGTTCAACCATTCCCCAATTCATGGGCACTCCCTTCCTTTCTAGTTCTCTGATGCAATAAAAAAGAGCTGCTCTAAATACTTCTGGACATATAGGTAAGAGATGGCAATCATCTGGACCTCTACAGTAGCTCTTTCTCTGCTGAAAGCAGAAAGTTGGTGGACTTGACTTAAAGATAATTTCCTCCTTCAAAAGATGGAGGAACATCCAAAAGTAAATTATTTTTTGGCTCTAATTCTTAAAACAAAGAGGAACAGGCTATTTGCATGTAAATGATGGAAACCTTTGAGGATATGGCCCTTCTTACATCTTATAATTTCTAACAGAAGATAAGAAAGCCAAGAGTAATTTGACATGCACCCTGGATTTTGAAAATTTCAAAGGATTCTGAAGAAGAATAGGTGTTCCTATACTAGAATTCCAAATGGAGAGTCAGTCCAGAAGGGATGAGAAGCTCTCAAGAACGAAAATCTGAAGATACAAAGAAGAAACAGTTCCTAAAGATTTATATGGATGCAAAAGGTACCCACCAGCCAAGTTAAATTTTTCACAAGGTATGTGGAGAAGATGGACACAAGAATAATTATAATGGATGGTGAATACAAAGCGTCGCTCAGTCACATGAGAAAGTGTCAGGAATGCTAAAGCTGAGAATAAGGTGAGGCTGGTAAGGAAAAGTCAGGATGACAAGAAAAGTTGTTTTAAGTTAAAACAAGGCAAAGAGATAGATCAGAAAAAGGACAGGATGATGACTGATAGAGAAAGCAAAACTGATCAATTTGTGTTTTATTTCTGCTTTCTCTGCCAAGATGATCTCTGAACTGGAAAAAAACAGAAGAAAAATGAGTTACAGAGCTAGCATCTAAGATAAGTAAAGAGACAGTAAGAACATCTAGTTATCTATGATGAATTCAAGTCACTCAGCCCAGACAAGGCAAGGTGGTACATGGGACACTGTGCAGACTTTGAGGCCAAAGGACCTGGGTTTAAATTCTTCCCTGCCACTTAATATGTGAAACCTTGGGAAAACTACTGACTTTTTATGGGCCTCACTGTCTTCACCCTAAAACTCAATGACCTCTAAGGCCTCTTTCAGCTCTGAATCTATGGTCCAATGATTTGTTACATCATACTGAAAGAACAAGCAGAATCGATTACCAAGTCACTATTAGCAGTCTGTGAAAGACGGTAGGTAAGAGAAGTACCATAGAACTGGAAACAGGCAAATGTCACGATTTTTTCAAAAACTAAAGGAGGATGGAGCCTGCATACTAAAACTTCAGGCAACTTTTTCAAACATATTATTAAACTATGGTTAGAGAACATCTAGAAAAGGTAATGATGGCAAAAATCTAATACCACTACTAGGTCTGTATCCCAAAGAGATAGTGCTAAATACTGCAAAGAAGTCAAGGATGTGGGATGATGAAACATCATAGCATTAAGAGATCACTGACAGAAAGGAAAGCTTCAGTTGGGTGATAAGGTCAGATGCCAGACTGCCAGGAATTTAGGACTGACTGGAAGGAAAAGAATTGGAAATCGTAGGATTAAAAATATGCAAAGCACTTTAAAGTACTAAATACATGTTATTATCATCCTTGTGGCTTTTTTGAGGACTTTAATGAAGATGAAGAGTCATTAGATAATGGATTGAGGTAGGAATGTTATGAATGATTTTGAGATCAAGTATATTGACTACTGCTATGTGTATATAGCATTGTTAAAGATAACGTACGAGTCCCAGACTTTGAAGAGGTTGACAAACTGAGAAGCTAGAGGTATCTGAATGGCCATTAACAGATATATTGAAGTCCCCAAGTAAAAGCTCCAGGGTAGGGGGGAAGAGCAAGATGAAGTGCCAGCTACTAAACTCCTTAAGAAAGAAGGGAGAATTACCCAAGTTCCCAAAGAAAACTATAAACAGGATCTAAATGGAATGAACCTCAAAGGGGGAGACACTTATGCAGTAGATAGAGGTCAAACTAGGGCAGGAAGGGACTACTGAGTTCTATCCAAATCCTTCTTCTTCTAGATAAGGAAACTGAAGTCAAGTGCTTTTTTCCATCCAAGTACTAATCAGGCCCTATACTCTGCTTACCTTCTAATATCAGATGAGACTGAATGCATTCATAGTAGCATGGCTACAGATAAGTAACTTTCAACAAGGTCATATAGATAATGTGTCCAGTGCTAGTACTCTTTCTAAAATGTTTCTGATGCACCTCCATCAGAAGAAACCTTTTGCAACCCTGATTTTTAAAACTCCGCTTTTCAGATTAAAAACAAACATGGTACTGTTCTGAAAATCATGACAAGATCTGATACAGTCAAATGCAGCAGAGCTAGTCCATCTAGATGTAAAAGGAGCAAGAAGGATGCCTACTCCTCCTCCTGGCCCTGTGTTTTGGGAGGAGTTTAAGAAGGGCATGAGACAAGATGTTCCAAGTAATGGAGACAATGGCCAAGGATACGGTGCCATTCATTATGAGTCTATTTCTGTAAGGTCAAGAAGATGAAAAGAAAGTGATGGGGAAAACTCAAATGCAAGAGAAGCCTGGCATTCAGGAACATGGAAGGGACTGTCCTCGTATACCGTCAGGGACAAAAAGTATGGCTTTTAGTCCTAGGTATGCTTCAGAAAGGACACTGACAAGCTGGGAGTAAATGGGGGAATGGTTAAGGTCACTGAGTTCCTGCCATATGAGGCTCAGTTCAAAGAACACAGAAGAAGATATGACTTGGGGGTGGGGAGGGGTGAGGCATGCTAGCTCTCTCTACGAAGTGAGATGGGGATTGGATTTGCTCTTCTGGCCCAGCGAGCAACAGACACAAGTTGCAAAGAGGGAAATTTAGGATGGATATGAGGAAAAACTCAGTAATAATTGGAACTGTCCGAAAATGGAATCAGTTGGTTTGGAAAATAGCAAGCTTCCCCCACTGAAGGTCTTCAAAGCCTTGTCAGAAAGGATTCTTATTCAGGTATTGTTTGATTCCCTTCCAACTCTGAAATTCTGGGATCCTGTGAAAGATGTAGAAGGTTTTCTAGCTACATCAATAAAGGAATACCCGTACTGTTGGAATCACAGATCTAAGTTTGTTCTTAAGAGCCAGTTATTATATCACTGTTCTCACAAACACAGGACTGGTCTTTCCATTTCCATCAATGCCTAGAACACAGTAGGTGCTATATCAATCCTTATTCCCTTCCCCTCTCTCATTTAGGAATCCCTTTCAATTCCATTGAGATATGAGCATTTGGCAACAAACAGCAACAAATGGAAGACCTAGTCTTCCAAATTTTTGGCCTGCATAAAGTGCTTTCCTCAAAGCAGATTCTGGATAATTACTCTGGGGATGATGCAGTAGACAGAGGTCGAACTAGGGCAGGAAGGGACTACTGAGTTCTATCCAAATCCTTCTTCTTCTAGATAAGGAAACTGAAGTCAAGTGCTTTTTTCCATCCAAGTACTAATCAGGCCCTATACTCTGCTTACCTTCTAATATCAGATGAGACTGAATGCATTCATAGTAGCATGGCTACAGATAAGTAACTTTCAACAAGGTCATATAGATAATGTGTCCAGTGCTAGTACTCTTTCTAAAATGTTTCTGATGCACCTCCATCAGAAGAAACCTTTTGCAACACTGATTTTTAAAACTTTGCTTTTCAGATTAAAAACAAACATGGTACTGTTCTGCAAATCATGACAAGATCTGATACAGTCAAAAAGCCTAATGTCTATTTTTTTTTCCTGTCTATTTTTAATCAGTGAAATTTTACTTCCTTTGGTTCCATCTGTTGCTATAGCCAAAGGATTCATCACCAAATGGCCAGGTAACAATGTTAGATACATCCAATTAAGGGAGAGAAGAGTAACCCCTTCCTAACCCTATCCTTAAGCAAAGGCTTAGAAAAAGAGCCTTCAGCTGGCATATGGAAAGGAAGTCTAGTACTCCTCAATACTATATTTGTTTCTAAGCTCACTTCCACAAATACAAAAACAAAACTTGTTATGACACCTTCTAATCAATGTCTTTCATATTTGAGTAGCTCAAGTAGCAGATTCCTTTAAAAGTACTATAAATGGGGTGGCTAGGTGGTGCAGCGGATAGAGTTCCTGCCTTGGAGCCAGGAGGAACTGAGTTCAAATCCAGCCTCAGACACTTGACACTTATGACTATGTGACCCTGGGCAAGTCACTCAACCTCAACTGCCTCACTAAAAGGCCAAAAAAAAAGGTATTATAAAGGCATTTCCTTTAGAAGTGATATATGATTATCAAATAATCACCAGTACCCCAAGGTACAGTATTTAAGTATTAGTAATACTTAGTATTTACTTACTTACAGTATTTACTTATTTATTTAGACTTCAAAAATTGTTAAAAAGACAAAGGAGGATAGGGGGGAAAAGACATTAAATATGAAAATCAGTCAAAGTTCTCTTGGGTAACCAGGTAAAGGCCTTTATTGTTTCGAAAACTATTGCTGGAGAACTGACAAGGACATTTGATCCTGGAAACTTTTGGCAATATATCCTAGGAAGCATTTTTTTGGTCACTGTAAAATGAGCCAAATGACTAATAGAGAAGACTCGGACAATTACATTCCGTTTCTTCCAACTCAACAGTCTTCACCCCACCCCCAAAACACACAATAAATCTCCCTAGGACTTCCTTAATCCAAAGGTACTATATAATATAACCCTATAAAATCAGTCAAATACCATTAGTGTATCGTTCACCAAATGCCCTATAAACTATCGACAGGTTTGCCATGGCTTTGGCCCAAACCTGATAAAAAAAAATCAGCAAAACCCCGTGTCCAGGGCGCACGACCCGTTCCCTTCCATTCGAAAAAGGATTCCTTCGAAGTCCAGACCTCACCCAAGAAACATCATCATCATCAACCACTCCCAGGATAAAGGTTTAAAATAAACACACATAAACACACACACACACACACACACACGCACACGCACACACACATCCTGGCCTCACGTCTGATCATCTCCACCACCCTTCCCCCCAACCCAATTCCCACTTCTAATCTCCCCCTCCCCAACCCTCTCATGCGACTGGCCGGCCAAGGCAAACCCTCATCACCCCTGCGGCCCCCTCGACCTTCCCCCGTCCCCAGGACCAAAAGGAGATCTGACATACAGTAAGCGCTTAATTCGTGCTTATTCCCCGGTCCTCGCCCCCTTACATCCTTCTCCCTGTGCCCCGCTGCCCGTTCTATGCCCAGCAGCCCAACCAGCTTAACTGGCGAGGGAAAGGGGAGCTGGCAGGGTATCCGGGCGCACGCGTGCCCATCTGCGTGGACGGAGCCCGCGTGGACGCTGCGTGTGTCTGAGCACCGGGTCCAGGCACGAGCTCGGAGCGGGGTTGTGCGCGTGCGCCATGCAGCCCATCCCCTCGCGGAGGGAAGCTGGGGGCGGCCGGGCTCGCTCACCTCCTCCCGGGAAGCGTCTACCTCTTTGTCCCTCGGCTGGACCGCTAAGGGTGCCCAGCGCCGCCCCTCCTTTATAGCCCGGGCCGAGCCACCGGCCAGCCCGCCCCCCTCTGCCCGCGCGCAGTGGTTCGACCTGGCGGGGGCGGGGCAGGGCGGACTGGGAGCGGGGCTAGGAGGCCACGCCCCCTGCCGGACACGTCAGCGCCTGGAGCGCCACGGCGACGGGGCTCGCACTGAGAGGGGCTGCTGAGCGGGAGGGGGCGGGACGCCCACACGTCACTCCCTCGTGGTGGTCCAATAGGGTTGGACGTCCCGGAAAGAGGCGGGCCCCTCCCCTCTGGGTCCGGGACCAGGTGGCAATTGCGTCAGCCGGACGGGAGGGGCGGCTCCTGGATGCTGCCCGGGTGACGGGTCCGTTGCTTGGACGTGGTCTTTTCTCCAGGGGCTGCTGAGACAGATGGGCCGTTGCCTCTGTCACTCCCCTCCTTCCTGGGGCCGGGCTCGCGCCCCTCTCTGCCCCGACGGGGCATGGGTTCGGATGGATTCGGAATGATTCGGAATGGATTCAGAAGATGCAGGCGCTCGAGGCTCTTATAACCTGCTGCCAACCTTTACAGCTTCCTGTTCTCCCCACCCCCCTGATGGCCTCCGGGCATTTCCTTGGGCCGTGCCTGCAGCCAGTTCTGCCAGACAAAATCCTCCCCTCCCTTTGAGGAGTCGCTTCCTCCGTTCAGCCTTCCAGGATTATCCCCACGCCACCCCACCCCCGCACAAAATAGGTTCACAGGAATTAAAGCATAAAGGAGTCTGGCACCACTCCCTTTTTATAGTGAGAAAACTGAGGCCCAGAAAAAGTAAGGGAGATTACAAGTTTACTATATAAAATTTCATAGAAGTCTTTGGATTTAGAGCTGGAAGGAACCATCGCCATCTAAGCAGTCATTGTACAGATTTGGAAACTGAGGTCCAGAAAGCTCAAGTGACAATACAAGCATAAGTGACAGAGTAGGAATTCCAACCTAGACATTCCAATTCCAAATGTGTTCCCCAATTAACCACAGATTCCAGAGCAGAACCTTTTTCCTCCAAGAGGAAAAAAGATATATGAAAGATACATAAAGAGATATAAAAGCTCTCTGGAAGTGCCTTGGAGAGCCCTTGGAGCATGGTAGATGGCTTGTTATAATCCAGTTTAGAGGACACAAATAATTCCTGTAACAGGGGTTGCCGTTAAGATGGTGAACTGATTGGGACTCTGGGAGGGATGGACTCTTTTTGTGATCTATAAAAAATGAGCTGCATGACTAGCTCAATCTCTCTCTCTCCCTTTCTTGCATTTCTTCTTTTCAATAGCGAGCATAATGAGTAATTAGCCTCTTCTATCCCACAGTCAGGCTATATATCTCTCCCTCAGGGTCTAGGGGCACCCCTGTGGGGTTAGGGGTTTCTCTTCTCTAATGCCATCAGCTTAATCCACCACTCCTGGTGTGTTCTCTCCCATAATACTGGCATCCATCAGTGACTAGTGCCCTGGTTCCAACACTGATTAACTTTTACAAAAGAATATTTACTGTAAAGATATATCAAGAACAGAACTCTATTCAATGCCCTGATCTCTCAGGGACATACTCTCCCCCTGTCACCTCAATGTCTGGGGAAAGTAAGCTCAGACGGTTGGTTGGTTGGTCATTGTCCTACATTCTCAAAGAAGACCAAAATAACAGCACTATGTTGGGGTCAAGATACAGTGTGTCCAACTGTGGCTGATCAGACCAATATAAGCTCGAAAGGCTCTACCACAGGTCAGGCACAAACAGTGCATATGAACGTTTGGAGTAGAGATGTGTCTAAATTTATGTATCTCACGTTTCTTTCGAATTCTGCTTTGCTCATTGAGTACAGTGCCTTGTTTGATGTGAGTGCACAATGCTGGATGGTTTTGTGCCAGCATCTCCCATGCTAGGCTCAGACAGTGTAGTTTCTACATAGCATTGGGCCTTCCAAGTTCACCTCCATATGCAACATTGCTACGGGATGGGATGAGTCCTCATCTCAGCTACTGATGTGATGAGTCCCGAAGGTCATTCTTTGTTTCTTGGAGCATCACTGATGGACCAGCTGCATAACCCAGATGGACTTGACTCCCAGGACTCCTAGGCTCCAAGATGGCTCACTGTTTTTACCTTTTGCCACTGACAAGATTAGAACCTACAACTTTCTTCACTTAAAATTAAATGCCAAGCAAAGCTGATCTTCAGGTCAGCTTGAGAAGAAGGGGACCCAAAGCCTCTCCCCTTATAGCACTGTCTCTACCTGGACATCACCAGCAAAGGAGTCAGACCCAGAAAAGATGTCTAGCCAAGGCCAAGGCTGACTAATGCCTTTTGAAGGCACCCCCAGTACCAATGCTACTATTGTAGCCAATCAAAGAAGCTGGTGTTAGCTGACTGGAACCAGGTACGGAGTATCTATGCATGCTGCAAAGTCTCTTGAAGGCACTTCTATTTCACATTGATATCACTCTCCTGGGAACATGCTAACCAGCCTCTGCCATGTGGGGAATTACATAGTCAGCACTCTGCTCCTATTCATAAGGACAGAGCTTATTGGACAGTTCCTAAGGAAAGAAATGCAGACCTGCTTCTATAGGGGAAGGGGGAAATATGTGCCCACGTACAGTTTCCTTCGTGGTCATTTGCTTTAGAAGCACATGTGAGAGGCGCTGATGTTCTTACAAGCAGCCTTCATCATAGGATTATGGGATCATAGGCCTAGTTTTGGAAGGGACCTCCTAGGACATCTAGTATAGCCCCTATTTTTTAAAGATGAAGAGACATGTGATTTGTCCAAGGTTAATGGACTATGTTCCTCAACCTCAACCTCCTAGATTGAGGAAGGGGAATTTTGAATTCTCCAGCCAGTGTGATTCTGGAATCCAACCTTCCAGCCACAAAAGGGATATTTTCTGGGCAGCACCAGTTTGGGGAATTCTTCCCAAAGTCTCATTGAGTCTGAAAGTCCACAGTTTCAAGGGGTAAGGACTTCTAGAAAAAGTAAGGGATTTCCCGAAGCACTATGCTCCTTGGAGATCCCTCACAAGCCGTCATGTAGCATCCAAGCTAGAAAACAAAAACCATTAATAAAATGGACAGTGCAGGTCAGGGTTGAAAGGAATTGTGGGTTTAGTGGCCCCCAAAGTATGTTTATTTTCCAGGAGGAATCCAAATAAAAGTTCAGTACTATATTCCAGTCTTCAGAGAGGGAGTTACATAATCCTTGGTGTGAAAGAGAGACTATGAGAATGTCAGTTCCCCAGTAGTAATCCTAAATTCGGTTCCCTTCCGTGTGAAACTGATGGATTATTTGAGTGCTTTATGGATCTTTCTGTTTATAGGGCAGCTAGGTGGTACAATGGATAGTTTTGCCTAAAGTCAGGAAGACTCATCTTCCTGAGTTCAAATCCAGCCTCAAATACATGCTAGCTGTGTGACCCTGGGCAAGTCACTTCACCCTGTTTGCCTCAGTTTCTTCATCTGTAAAATGAGCTAGAGAAGGAAATTCCAGTATCTTTGCCAAGAAAACACCCCCCCAAATGGGGTCACAAAGAGTCAAACATGACTGAACAACAAAAATAATTGTTTATGGGCTCCAAAGAGTGCTTTTCATCTTACACATTTTCTATGGGGTTAAATAAAAGCTAATCCATATCTTGCATGCATTTGTGAACCCTTTTACCCACATTTAGGATAAAAGCAAAAACTATACCTCTAGAATATAATATTTCCCTAGAGAAGCTCCATGTTTACACACAAAAACAAACAAACAAACAAAAGATAAAATGTTTTGAGGACCACCTTTGTCCCCAGAATGAATGAGGTCTGTGTTATTCCAGCCTTAAGGGATTCATCTTAAGAAACCACAAGTTATCTAAGGATCATGTTACCAATCAGGTATTTATTAAGCATATACTTTGTGCTCAGGTCAGAATTGGGATGCTCAGACTTTATTTAGTATGTTTTTAGTAGCAATCATATAGTTTGTTTAGTTTAATTGTTTAGAATATTTGTTTAGTAGTTTATATTTATATATTTTATTAAATTTATTTCAAGCTAAGATTGTATATCAGTTTCAAAGACTTCAGAAAGACTGTCCACAACCTTTTGCCAGCTAGCCTTACCATCCTTATCTCTCCT